CCCATGCACGGTATGTTCACTTTTAATTAAATTTTGTAGAGTGTGTGAGTAAAAAAAAAAAAAAAAAAAAAAAAAAAAAAAAAATGAAAAAAAAAAAGGGGGTATTTTACTGAAAAACCCGACCGGGTAGACTAACCCACCAGGCCGGGTATTGAAGCCAGAACACTCTGGTTTAAAACTTTCAATAGACCCGACCGGGTATTTTAACCCACCCGGCCGGGTATGACAACCCGAACATTCTGTTTTAGAAAATTCAGGTTACCCGACCGGGTATATTATCTTACCCGACCGGGTAAATACCCGAAATTCTCACTGCCAGCCTCTGGAAAGCAAACCCGCCCGGGTAACTTACCCTACCCGACCGGGTCAACGGGCTTTTCAGCCTATACCAGGTCGGGCAACCCACTTCCCACTCATTTCTTCTTCTTCTCCAAACGCACCAAACCCCAAAAAACTCCATTTTTGTACACTCCAAGCTTCGATTCTCCACCATTCCTACATCAAATCCATCAATTAACATCATATCCTTCATCTCCTCACCTCCCTCTTTCATCCTACACCCATTAATCCATCTCAAATCCCCCAAATCAACCAACCCAAAAAAACCCTACCCCCATTTTCGAACCCCTCCATTCTTGGACTTCAAAGGTCCAAAGACAAGCCAAAAATCATCACCAAACATCAAATACCTCTTCTCCTAATCATTCCCTACAAAACCATACCCATCAAGCCCACCAAATCCTACCCACCCCAAAAATCCGAAAATCCCTCATCAAAAACACCAAAAATCAAGCTTCATGGCACCAAAAAGGGCAAAACCCTCTTCCTCAAGAACTCCAAGGGCTATCCCACCGGTTGACGGCTTCGAGGAGGTGGACCTTGTAACCGAAGCACAACGCATCCGCTTTCTCGAACAATCCGAAAGAGAGGTAAAACACTCCCGATTTATGTGCCAATTGACCTTGACTTTCTTTTGGATTGATGATATTATGAGGGACATATTCACAAGGTGTGGCATGCTGAAAATTTTTAATATGCATTATTGGTCATATTCTCGTTTAGTGTATGAGTTCTACAGTTCCGTTGAGCATGTGAAAGACGAAAATGATCACACCAATAACACTATCAACTTTCGAATGCTCAACGAGAACCGTTCACTCACTAAAAGAGAATTTGCTGAACACTTCGGCCTACCCTTGCTTGATGAAATTGTCGCGTATAGTACACCGGTAGCCCATGAACTATGGAGAAGAATGACTGGAGTTGTCAATGTTCGCACTTCCCACCTCAATGTCAACCACATCCAACACCCGGTTTTCCGAATTTTCTTCAAATTCTTGGCAAATTGTCTTTTCGGGAGACCAAACAACCATCAAACTAGAGTGAGTGATGTGTGCCTCTTAGCACAAGCTGTTCTTCCGGGCGCTAGCCCGTACGATCTCACCACAGTGCTTTGGGATCACATTATCAATGTTAAAAATGGTGGAGGACCAATTCTGGTAGGGGGTCTAATTACCCACATAGCAACACTATATGGTTTTCAATGCAATGGTGCACGAAACAAAAGAACCCTTCTTGGCCTTAAGTTTCTAAAGAATGCTGGGGATGTGACCCTATCACACATAGAACATGATGGTCTGGAGATTTATCATTGGCACATCAAACCTGGCCAAGATCTATACCACCCATTCCCTTCCGATAATCTCCCACTTAACATCCTTGATCACCATATTGGTGATGGACACCATTATTGTCTGCCCGGGGGGATCCCAGCTCATTATGCACCCCCAGACGATGAACAGGGGAACAATGAAGACAACAACGCCGCCAACGAGCAAGCAATTGAGCCACCACCCCTCATTCATGAACAACCACAACCACAACCTCATGCCCACCAATATTCACCATTTGAGCAAGAAATGCTAAATAGCATGAATGCTCTTAACCTTAACTACACTCAACTCCGGAATGAGTTCGGGTTATATAGAAATGAGCAGCGGCAGGGTTTCGAAAGGATTGAAGAACAAAGGCGGGAAGATTGGCATAGGCATGAAGAGGACCAACGGAGAACCTTTGGTCCAATATACTCTTATGTGGCACACCAAGGGTCTTTTGCGACTATGTCTAACCCCCCTCCCGCACCCTCATGGTATAACCCCACTGAATGGGGTTATTTCGGCGGTTCAAGCTCTAGTGGACGGGGCGGAGATGACGGGCACCAAGGTGATCACATGGATGAAGATGCTCACTTCACCGGTTACCACGGCTATGGAGGGTCCTATGATGGAGGAGATGCGGGCGGGCACTAGGGACAGTGCCTAATCCTAAGTGTGGGGGTATTGAGAACTATTCCGGTATGAACCCATTTCATGCTCTTCATTATTTCCTTAAAAAAAAAAATAAAAAAAAAAAAAAAATCAAAAACAAAAAAAAAAAAAAAAAAAAAAAAATTAAGCTTGTTATGTTGAAAACCCAAAAGGGCAACTTAAGCAAAATAAAAGCAAAAAGAAGAGTGAGTTGGTGAGAACAAAAAGGAAAATGTGGGAAGCAGGGTTGAAAACCCAAAAAAGGGCACCTAGGCAAAATGAGAGAATGAGAGAAAGTATTTCTTTTGATTTTGCAGGATCCTGAGGGTGATTACTATACAGAGTTCATCGGATGAGGAAGCTGAAATTGAAGACCCATTTTTACTCTTTTGGTTTTGGAAATACTTTATGTTATGTGTTTTGAACACTTATGGTTGTTGGTGTTGCTACCCTTGCCATTTAAGGACTTCTTGAACAGAACTCATTTTACTCGAGACGAGTAAAAGTGCAAGTGTGGGGGTGTTTGATATGCACTAGTTTATAGTGCATAAGTGTATGTTTTTATATCGATCTTGTGTAGACTTTCCATCACTTTTAGTTAGTTTGTAAGTATTTGTTTTATTTTAGTTGTAATTGTTTTTACCTTCTATTTCTAGCTATAGAATAGTGATAGAGTTTTTAGCAAGCAAAAGGGAAGAAAAGCTGAAGACAAAAATTCTCAGGAACACAGACCCGGGCGGGTCCCTTACTCGACCCGGTCGGGTCAGATTTGACCCGGAGCACCAGAACATGCTGCAGATTTGGAAAAGATCTGATTTTGGTCAAACCCGGTCGGGTTCCTTACTTGACCCGGTCGGGTCTGACTTGACCCGGACAAGTTAACGTGCAGAAAACAAGAAATCGTGGGAGATAATCTGATTTTGACCGGTACCCGGTCGGGTATGTACCTATACCCGGTCGGGTACCCGGCCAAAGGTGTTGAAAAACACCTATAAATAGCACACTTTTTCTTCACAAAAAATCATCCCTTCTTCCATATACTTAAGCTCAGTTTAGAATAGCATTTCTTGATATTTCTTTTAGCATGTTTAGTCTCCAAATGAGGAGCTAAACTTCCAATTCTTGGTTTTGCTCTTGAAGCTTGTTGATTATTAAAGTTGTGAGTTATTTTCTTACTTTCTCCTTTTGATTATTAATTCTTCCCTTAATCTATCTCTATATTAATGTTGGAGGGTGGCTAAGTGACGATTAGCTAACGTTCCAACATTGATTATTACTAGAAACGATCAACGAACCGATGGTTAAACGTTGATGGTTTCACAAGTAAGTAACTTCGGTTTATTAATGCACGGTCGTGGTTAATAAACTTAAGAGGGATTAATTTTGTTGGTTAAACCGAAACCGTTGTGTTGAGGTTATCAATCTCAATTGATTTCATCAAGGAGTCAAAGAGGTTAAATGCTACTATTAAATCGGTATACGGCGTTGTTCTATATTTGGTTAATAGTAAGGGTTATTAATGAACGGTCGTTGTTAATAACTACCCTCGATGAATTGGATATACTCCTCGATTGAGTATTCGAGAGGGGATAAGTTATAGATATAACAATGATCGACTAAAATATATCAACAAGTGGAAAGTAGCAAGACCAAGTCCCTTTTATTCTTGAATTTAATCCCATATAACTCGTTCATCTTCGTGTTTAATTTAATTAAATCACTCAACAAACAAAACCCCCCCTTTATTTACTATTTACATAAAAAGAAAGTTATTCCTTTCCCTGTGGATACGAACTCTACTACGCTATACTACGTATAAGTGTTAGTATTGAATTTACTTTGAGTGCACTCACGACAAAGTGCACGTCACAACTTTAGAGACCTTCCACCAATAATGGTCCGAAGTGACCGACTATAAATAAATTTCTATAGTTTCTAATGTGGATGAGAAGAGATATAGCAAGTAATCTCTATATATGATCCCAACTTTTAACTGTTACGCTTAAAATTCATTTGTTAAAGCAGGTAATATCTGGTCACGGACTACTATTGGCGGACGGTCCACATAGTTGGGATTATACAAAAATAATCAATAGTTGAGATTATTATTAGCGGACCGGCAATAATTGGGATTATTATTTTCATTTTTTTCCTAAAATGAGATCGAAGTACTATAACTTTTTCATGTATGCTCGGATTTTAAAATATAATGTCAATTTAAAAATTTTCATATGATCTTTTATACTCCCTCCGTATTTATATGTTCTCTACAATAGCTTTTGGCACAATGTTTTAGAAAAAAATAGTAGGGATAATGAATAGTGTAGAAAAAGTAGAAGAGAATGTGGAAAAGTAGAAAAAATAAGATAAAAGGTAGAAAAAGTAAGGGTGATTAGGTGTTTTTAAATGAAAAACTTACCAAATGAGGAAAATGTAGCAAATTTTTAAATACATCTCAAATAGGAAAATGTAACAATTTTTTAAATAAGGATGGTAAAAAAACTCATTAAAATATGGTAAACAATTGCAAAATTGAGCGATTACTTTGCGCCGGTAAATTTCCCAGGTCGGACGAGCCCGATTTTGCGAAGAGAAGCCGTTATTGTACCGTTGGAGTTCCAACGGCCCTATTGATTTGAATTCAAGCGGATCGGAGTACTATCTATCTATCTCTATATATATTAAGAAGTACGTATCAAGAGATGAGTTCGGTACAAAACATAATGATGATGGAGAAGAGAGTATGTGAAGAGGTTGACGATGAAGAGGAGAAATGGGTGAAGCATTACTCGTCGCTTCATCACATTCTTTTGGTCGGAGACGGAGACTTTTCTTTTTCTCTCTGTCTCGCCAACTCCTTCGGCTCCGCTTCCAACATTGTCGCTTCTTCTCTCGATTCATTCGGTACTCTCCGAGTGCTCTTATTCTTTTACTCTAGGGTTTTCGGATGATTTATTGTTGTTTTGTACTCCCTTCAGCATATATATTTATGAATTTGTCGTTTTCTCTTGGGGGGATTTCTCAGTTTTGTGACAGAATTAACAATTTTGGGAACTGGATTGATATATGCAGATAGGGTGACAAGGAAGTACAGGAATGCGAAATCGAACATAGAGAAATTGAAACATTTAGGAGCCACAGTTCTGCATGGAGTGGATGCTATCAAAATGAAGCTTCATGCTGATCTCCGGATGAGAAAATTTGACCGCATCATATTCAACTTCCCCCATGCTGGTTTCCATGGGAAGGAAGACTCCAGCAGCTTAATCCAGTATGTCTTCTCACAGCTTCACTTAACTTTCCAATTGCAATGATATGACTCCGATCCTTTTTACTAACTGTAATAAAGTTTTGCTTAGCCTTGATCTGGTTTTTCCATTTAAATTGGTGTTCCCTTCTTTACTGATTTTTCATGGAGTCTCAGTGGTGTGACTTGTGAGGTACAGTGTGGATTGTTTACAGTTTGGTTTAAACATTCTCGTTTTTGTCAAGAAGAAAAAGAAAAAGAATAGAAAGATTTCTTAATATGGTTAAAACATAACACATTTCCTGTCAGCCATTGTTTTATCCCAAAAACACAACTCAATTACTCCTTGTACAGTTATGCATGTTTGACAATCGATCCTATTTTGAATTTTGGACATGTTTTGTGCCTATTATGAACAATTTCTTAAAAAGAATATGGATTTGAATTTGTTATTACTTTGGCAACCTTTCATAGTAGTAACTTAACTTCATCTCCCTGTGTTCATGTGAGTTAGTTGATGATGTCTTGTTGCATGTTTTTCTTCATCTTCAAAGGGTTGAAACTTGACATTCAGTTTGTTATGGACAGAATGCACAGGAAAGTTGTGAGTGGATTCTTTAGAAGTGCAAGCGGCATGCTGCGAGCAGAGGGTGAAGTGCATGTCAACCACAAAACGACTGCCCCTTTTTGTCATTGGGATATCACTGGATTGGCATTGAACAGTTCTCTGGTTTTGGTTGATTATGATGATTTCCACATTACTGATTACCCAGGTTACAGCAACAAGAGAGGAGACGGTCGTCGATGCGACGAGCCTTTTCCATTGGGACAGTGTGGCACATTCAAATTCATCTTCTCCCCACATGCAGCAAAGAGGAATCCCAATCCTCCTGCAAGTCATTGCTATGGCAGATCAGCAGCTCAAAGGCCGCCTCCTCCAATACTGCAACCACAACAGCTCTCTGCTCCATCCCATTGTGCTGCTGCTTCTGCAATTCTCAAACCCTTTGAGAATGAATGTTACCAGTTCTTTGGTGGGTATTTTAATCATGTTCTGGCAACATTTGGAAAGCTGGAGCATGACATTCAAGCGTCTGTTCGCCAAGGAATCACACATGCCTATAGGAAATACATGGCGGAAAAGGGAGGAAGCAGCTGCAGCAGCTTTAATGGTTACATCAATCTACTGGAACAACTCCTGAATTTGAGCAAAATGAGATCAGAATGGCTGAAAAATAATCTGTTTTACCTTCACCAGCAGCCACTAATGTGATGATGGCGCCTTGCCATCATGCTTGCTTGCTTCAGGATGTTTTTGTTATCTTATGTTTTTGCACAATATCTAGACGGGCTTACACATATATGCACCGCACATGACTCGTAAGCCGTGAGGGGTTGGAACTTTATTTTGCTCCTACCTTAATCTCCAAAATCCAAATGGTTTTAAAAATAATGGCTGTTTAGAATGGGAATGCTTTAATTTATTATACTCCGTACGTTATTTTGGTGAATGTTTCATGCTCTCTTAGCCTCAGTCAGTTAGCTTCTGGAAATGTGGGAATAAAAAATAAGTTCTGAAGAAAAAATCGCTCTTTTTCAGAGGTTCTTAATGCTTGCTTTTAATTTTCTTCTAACTTCTTTCCTTTTTAATAAACATGAAAAGAATATATTGTGGAAACGTAGAGAGCTCAGTTCGTCGTATAACCTTTCAAATGATTCAACTGGTTGAAGCAACTGAAACATTAACATTTACTTTGTTAATCGCATTCTTACTCCGCATGTAAAATAGATAAAAATATGAAAATAGCACATTCAGAAGAGGGAAAAAAAGAATCAGCGAAATATTTTTTCTTTAGCATTTTACTTTGTGGTTGAAGTGAGCAAATTAGTTTAAAGCAACAGAAACGTTTAAATTTACTTTGTTGATCAAATACTCCGAATATATAGATAAAATATGAAAGTGTAGTACATTCAAACATTATTCAAACAATTTATATTTAAACACCATTTTACCAACTAGATGAACTTATAAAAAAAACAAATCGAATTAGATGAGACTCAAGTAAAATTTTACCTAACTTATTTTTTTGTAGTAATAGATAGATATAATGTCAAACAATTCACATTTTACTTTGTGGTTGAAGTGAGCAAATTATTTTAAAGCAACAGAAACGTTTAAATTTACTTTGTTGATCAAATACTCCGAATATATAGATAAAATATGAAAGTGTAGTACATTCAAGCATTATTCAAACAATTTATATTTAAACACCATTTTACCAAGTAGATGAACTTATTATAAAAAAAAAGGACCCGGAGTGTCTGCCTTGCTTTAGAGCAAGGCACGGTGCCCGGCCACTTTGAGCCGACCGATCAAATCTTCAACGGCCAGAGATCTCCGGGTGCGCATCTCGAAGCTTCCTCTTCCTTATCGGACGGCTCCCCTTCGGCAAGGTACTCTGTCGTGCGGCAGAGGAACCCAATCCATAAAAAAACAAATCGAATTAGATGAGACTCAAGTAAAATTTTACCTAACTTATTTTTTTTGTAGTAATAGATAGATATAATGTCAAACATAATATCAAACCACACTATACGACTTCATTAAAATTAAACAAGTAAAATGTGTTGGAAAAATGATTTTACAAAATTAATATTATTGTCATTTTGGAGATTAAATATGTAAGGTCCTCACGTCTCTATTTTAATAGGACTAAGACCTAACATTTTATAATGAATGAGAATTTTTCAGCTCGAGTACATGGCTAAAGATACTCCCTTCGTCCCTAAATAAACTTCCAGCTTTCCTTTTTCGTCCGTCCCAATTAAAACTTCCACTTTCCCTTTTTGGCCAGAATTTGTGGTTCACAGCAATTCTTACACATTTCTCTCTCCTCTGCACAACTCTCCATCACACAATACCACTATCTTAAACTCTGTGCCAAACCTATTTGGAAGATATAATAGGGACGGAGGGAGTATTTGTTTGTTCTCAATTTCGGATAATGCTTGGCAGTAGACACAACCTTTCTTTCTAAAGATATCTTTTGTGTATAGAGTCTCCTGGTCAGAGCTCTATATATACTCATGGTTATCTGCATTTTTATCGATCCGAAAATCAAAAATCGGTTCCCTGCTACTCTATTAACGTTGCATCTTTGAGTTCGCTAGTGTCTTTCGGGAACGTAGAAACCGTTCTATCCTGGGAGACGATTGCTACTTGTGTTGTGGACAACGTTTTAAGGAGACAACGATTCGTTGGGCTCGGTTTGATCCAAGTATTTTTTTTTTTGTTTTTTTATCCAAGTATTTATATTTACTGATAAAAATAACATACTCATAAAGCGGAAGGAAGAAATATATTGATAGATGATCAGAACTCACTTTCTTATTGCATTAAGAAACATACGGGTGTGTATATATATTACAAGGTCACTACATAATAGAGTATGTGCATGATTGACCTATATGGCCCATGCACAATGCTAATCATAGATATAATACGGAGTAGTTGGGTAAATACACATCTACATAATACTTAATACGAAGTATATTTCAATACTCCCCCTCAAGGTGGAGTGTGAAGGTCACGAACACCCAACTTGCTCCGTAGAAACTGAAAACGATCAGTACCAAGTGCTTTAGTGAAAATGTCGGCAATCTGATTTGCCGTAGAGATAGAACACGGTTGAATTTCGTTACTAGCCACCCTCTCTCGTACAAAGTAACAGTCAATCTCCACATGTTTGGTTCGTTCATGAAAAACCGGATTGAGGGCAATATGACGTGCTGCTTGATTATCACAATAGAGGGGTGTTGGACCTGTTTGTGGAATTGTAAGGTCTCGAAGTAACCACCGTAGCCACAAGATTTCACTAACAGTGATGGCCATAGCACGATATTCTGCTTCTGCGGATGAACGAGAAACAACAGATTGTTTCTTCGTTCGCCAAGATACTGGTGAATTCCCAAGAGTAATGAAATAACCAGTGCTAGAGCGACGGGTGAAAGAGCATCCTGCCCAATCTGCATCACAATATCCTCGTAAGGTAGATTCTTTTTCGGATGATAAAAAAATTCCTTGCCCAGGCGTCTGTTTTAGATATCGAAGTATCCGGATGGCTGCATTAAGATGAATCTGTCGAGGGTTGCTTAGGAATTGGCTAAGCTGATTAACAGAGAAAACAATGTCTGGACGAGTCACCGTAAGATATAACAATCTCCCAATAAGTCAACGATAGGTAGAAGCATCTACCTGTGGACTATCATCGTCTGGACCAAGTTTTAAATTTTGTTCCATCGGAAACGAACTAGGACGACCTGCCAGAAGACCACTTTCTTCCAAAATGTCTAGTGTATACTTGCGTTGACTCAAGACAAATCCCTCCGGAGAACGAGCAACTTCAATTCCAAGAAAATATTTTAGCTTGCCTAAATCTTTAATGATAAATTTAGCATCCAAATAAGATTTCATAGTGTCAATATGGGTGATATCATTTCGTGCTAAAATAACATCATCGACATATATAAGAGCAAATGTGTTGATGGAGCCTTTTTGAAAAATGAAAAGAGAGTGGTCCGCCTGGGATTGACGAAAACCAACACTAATGAGAGCATGAGTAAATTTGTGGTACCAATTGCGAGATGCCTGTTTTAACCCATAAAGAGATTTTTGTAATTTGCAAACGCGGGTATCACCAATTTTGGAAAACCCTTGGGGAACACGCATGTAGACATCTTCTGAGAGATCTCCGTGAAGAAAGGCATTATTAACGTCTAGTTAGTGCACAATCCAATTACGCTTGGCAACAACCGCCAACAAGCATCGTACAGTAACTAGTTTGGCAACTGGCGCAAATGTCTCATGGAAATCGACTCCTTCAATTTGTGTGAAACCTCTAGCCACCAACCTAGCTTTGTAACGTTCCACATCCCCATTAGGTCTGTATTTAATTTTGTAGACCCATTTAGAATCAACAACTTTTTTTCCCGGTGGTAATTGGACTAAAGTCCAAGTATCATTTTCTTCCAAGGCATTAACTTCCTTTTGCATGGCCTCCCGCCATAGAGGGTCCTGTACAGCTTGTGAAAAATATTTAGGCTCATCACGTGAAGTGATGGCCGCCAAAAATACTTTATGTGAAGCTGAAATTTTTTCATAATTGATAAAATTGGAAAGAGGATATACCGTTGAGTCAACTGAATTGGCAGTGGATCGTGAGCGAAGAGGGCAAGTCAGTCTCATAATTATCAAGATGCTTTGGGAGCTTTCGAATCCGATCACTCCGTTTTGGCTGAGAACTAGATTCAGTGCAAGAATCAAGGACTGATTGATCAATGGAGCCCGCTGGAATAGTTTCTTGTGCAGAAACGTCAAGTTGAATAGGTAGCTGCATGGAAGAGTGGGGCGTAGCAGCTGATTCAAGTTCGTGACGTGCTTTGTTGCTCTCCAGAAGACACCAACGGCAGTAAGGTGTCAATTTCATTGGGCGGCAGCTGTTCTCCTTCAATTGGTGCATGTGGGACCGTGAACCAATTGTTGTTTATCCGCTTCTTTTGATATTGAGTTGTAACTATTCTGACCAAATACGGGCTGTCCGGAAGTGACAACCGGATGGATAACGTCCGGGTGAAGGTGCGGTGTGGGTAGCTCATAGCTTAATATGTGCTCATAAACTTTATCAATAATGGTCGAAAAATCAAGCTCTTCACTCAACCGAATTTTAAAAGGAAACTTTTCTTCGTAAAAAGTTACATCTCGAGAGCTATAAACAGTATGTTTTTGTAAATCAAAAACACGATAAGCCTTTTGACCATTCGTGTAACACCGTCCCCAAATGTATTTACTTTTAAGTGAATAATATGGTATGTAACCTTGTGGAATGGTTAATGAGTTTACAATGTTATGGATTTTTATTAATTATTTTGCGTGAATAGTAAATTCGCACGTGGGGCCCGCACCGGGAGCGGGGGCCGCCCAATATTCCCGGGACTACATAAACTATCCATCTCGGTCTAGATAATATTTATATGGTGGAGGATAACTCATTTGAGCCATGGAAAGGTCCGGAGTTGACCGATTGGTCAAAGAGGCCTAAATACCGATATTGGCAAATTAACCGATAAAAGCCCGAAATTGAATTTCGGGGACTTATAAATTAAAGTTGGGGTATGAATATTCATCATAAGAGTCTTAATGATGGAGAGCACATAATATATTTTATTTGACCCGATAAAATAAAAATATATTTTAAATGGTCCGAAAAATACAACTTTCGGGACAAAGTGTACACTTCTGGACAAAAGGGGTTGACCTCCCACATGGGTGGGGGCCAACCCACGAAATTAGCCACATTTTTTCATGACTTGGCCGGCTGGATGGTGGAAGAGGCATGGGTGATGTGTGTGAAGTGAAAGAAGAAGCATCAAACAAAAAAAAAAGGGGACCACATCCACCCCATTTGACCTTTGAGACAAAAGACCATCCCCTCACCCCTCTCTCCCTCATTCCTCTCGGCCAGCACCAACCCCAGCAAGAAAAGAAAATCTCCATCTCCCTTTTCCCATCCTTGAAGAGAGCTCAAGCAATAGAAGTCCAAGGGGAAAGTTTAAAAGA